AAAATTAATATTGTATTATGTAATGTAATCTTCAAAAATTATGAAGGGCCTTAGAACTCCTCTCCCAACTAAAGAAACAAATTAAAGGGGATGGCTAATGGTCCATTACACCCTACTGTTAATGACAGGGATGGCTTTACTGGGGGGTGCACCCCCCTAGCCCTGGCCAGAGGGTGTGTGTTATTTTTCATGATAAAGCAAAAAATTATTAGAGGCACAATAAGATACAGTAATTTGAGTAATAACATGATGATAAGTGAACTGTGAACAACAATTACAATTCAAATACAGTAGTCAAGCAAGACTTTGCTAGTGAGTAGTGAAACAGGTTGAAGGGTGGGCGGCACATATGACCGACACAACTCAGCACCATGCAGAGCTACAGTAGTAGAGCAACCCCCCCCTACCAGATCATGCTGGATCCATCCCTGGTTAATGAAAAACATGAGATTGATTATAAAGTTTGTCTCCACTATGTGTTCTTTTATGTCTTGCTGAAGTACTTGAATATCTGAATTCTTTACAGATATGATATTCATATAAGGTTTTACTCTATTATGTGTTCTTTTATGTGACAATAACTAAATTGTTTGATGTTGAATGTTTGTTACACATCTTAGCAAGCCTCATATACAGGATGTGCTTGTCTGTATCATGATTTGTTGCAGTGTATGTTGTTTAAACAAATTTGCCATCTACAGCATTGATTTATTTTTCACAATTCTGCAAACTATTAATGGCAGCTGGCAATGTCACATGTAACACAAGGCCATCAGAAGTGGGGGGCTTGAGCCCCCCCCCTAAAATTTCCATTTGTATAAGCAAAACACACAAAATAACTAGAAAAGTGCAAAAGCAATTAAAACTTATTCAGATATATTCTTGAGTCCCCCCAATATTGATTTACTTCCGATGGCCTTGTAACATCCTGCCCAGATTTTTTTAATTTTATAATGCCCTCTGTACAAGGTTAGTACCCTATTGAATAACTTGCACACCTGACACCACTATAAAGAAAAATTGGCCGGCCATTGCTAATGTGCCGGTTGAAAGGTAAGCATGAGCTACTAAGTGTGTGTTAGCTTATTTAGGTCATGAAACAAGACAATTACAAAATTATCATCACGATAATGTTAGCCAGCATGAAATGAAAAGGTAGTGCACAACCTGTGCAGAGTCCATTTTGCATGTTGACACACAATTTGGCATTAAAATTGTATATTGTTGATTGCTAGGGGAACAGGTGAGGACTCTGAACCCGGCATTGCTTGACGAGTAAGATACTTCCCAATTACACATACCACATGAAATATCTAAGGTTACAAGGTGGCAATATATTTGTAATACTAATTATATACAATATCTCAAATGCTCAGATGTATGGTAAATTAGATTTGAAGTGCACCCCCCCCCCCTTTAGATTTTTACACTCCCCTGTTGGCCAAGGGTGTGTACCTCTGTCAACCCCCCCTCCCCTCCCCCTATAAACCCAACTGTATGTTGGGATGGATTTACTGGGGGGGGTACACCTCCCTAGCCCTGGCCAGGGGGGAGTGCTATTTTTCATGATAAAACAAAAAAATATTATAGAGACAAAATGAGATACAGTAATTTGAGTGATATCGATAACATGATAAGAAGCGAACTGTGAACAACAATTACAATTCAAATACAGTAGTCAAGCAAGACTTGACCTGTAAGTTGATGGGCGGGTGGCATGCATGACCAACATAACTCGGCATTAGAGCTGGCAGATCACCCCCCCCTCCTACCAGATCATGCTGGATCCATCCCTGACACCATGACTGTTAGTGTTGGTGCTAATTAAACAGTGCAATCTTGAACGGTCTGTGCCAGGCTAGATAGAGACGATAACAAAATAACTAGATATAACTTAGTACCTGAAAAATTCAAACAGAACTTCACTCGAAAAGTCAATAATTTGTACATTCCGCATGGAGTTTCAAGCTCTGTGGATTATGGAATATAAACTAGGCTGTTATTACAATTTTCAAAATTGAAGTTGAAAGTGTCAAAAATTTCTTATCTTGGCCAATCTATTTTTTACTTTTAAAGCATAATTCACTGAAACATATAGATATTTATAATTTAAACTATGTTTGAGAAAAATTCTGTTATAAAATCTTTTTTCAGATTAATCAGGTAAAGAGTAAGATACCTGGCATATCAGAATATAAGTTCTACCAACCAAAAAGAATAAAAAGATCATAAAACAACAATAGAAATTATAGAATATAAACTCCATTTAAACTCCACTCCTTAGCTTGGCGCCATATTGAATTTCGCGGTCGCGCTGGTAAAGGCCTGGGGACTAGGTGCTCTACCGTATCTGAAATAGCCTTCACCGGAGAGGACAAGATGCCGCCCACTGAGCTGTATAATATAGTATAGCTCAGTGATATAGTATAGCCACAGATGAGATAATACAGATGTGAATCTCCTGTGAAAATGTGTCACACGGATTAAATAAACTTTAAAATTGTATTAATTCACTATTTTATTAAATTTTGATAATGCAGAGGAATAAAACTATACATATTATAGAAGTATTCATGTTTTTTTTATGCGAGAGTTATGTTTTGAGGCATTTATATCATTCGCTGTTTTGTTATTTATACACGAGCATCTGAAATTCCCAGCAAGTGTATTTCACGATTTTAATAAGAAGTAGATAGGGAAAAAAACAAACTTTTGCTAAATAAAATGTTATATTAACACTTTTAATAAAAAGAAATCAATAAAAGTGATTGCTTACCGTTACTCTTGAAGAATTAATTCCAAAAATAGCCGTCGGTAGCGTAGACTTTTTAAAAAAACAATTTTTCGTCTTTCGAACGGCGTTTTCCTATCTCTTTCCTTATTAAATTTCAGAACGACACTTGCCAGCGCTCGCCGGAAGTGAGAATTCCGTGTGACACAAAACAATCAGCAATTTCACAGGAGATTCACATCTGTACTTACCTCATCTGTGGTATAGCTCAGTGATGCCGCCGCTTTACTTCGGTAATGTAGCAGCTTGAATAAGATTGTTTTTTATTGGTCAGAGTACTAATTGGGTAGCGAAGGTAGCAGCTTGAATAAGATTGTTTTTTATTGGTCAGAGTACTAATTGGGTAGCGAAGGTAGCAAACCAATAGGAAGCCAGAGACTGTCAACATTTACCTTTGAACTTCCGGTTTATTTGTAAGATGAACAAGCAACTGGCCAAGAAATTGAGCAAAAATATAGCTGAGAATACCCGAGTCTTTGTTTCTAAACTTGAATGTATTAATAAATCGTTCTGTGTATGCAATGTAAGTATCATTTAATAATGAGTAGCGTAAAGATGTAAACGCACTTTTTGCGGCTTATTACAGTAAAAGCAAGTATTGTATTGTTTGTCACGTTGTTAAATTCGCTAAACTTCTGTGTGAATGTGATAGACTACCTGGCGTTCCCTCGAAACGTCGAAGTTTTGTCTATTTATTTTCAGGTAGGCTGTCACATTCACACCAAGATTTACGCAGATGTTTTATCGAAGATTCTACCAGCGGTCAAGCGGCAAGCGTTCGAGATAAATTCGCTAATATTGCATAAAAACACGATGTAGTTATATTATATCTATTTCACTTTATAGAATGTTTATCTACAGCTGCACCCAAGACGAAATACATTAATCCGTGTTCGTGTTGTCAGCAAGTAGTTGGATAGTTTTTTCCACCGGCACATAATTTCGTGAACAAAGACGAGACATAGGACTATTTTAAAAACGATGACAACATTATGTTGACAACAACATACTGTACAGTATTTAATAATGTTGTCTTTTTATAAATTATAGTTGTACATTTGCCTTTTTATGTCAATTACAGTAAACTTATTTCAATTTAATATCGTGTGATTTCACCACATGCTTGAATCAGGTTGTTTTACATTATATGATTATACTTTGTCAGTTTATATAATTTTTAAACCGAAATCCTCACATGTATGATGTATCCTCCTGACCACACAACTCACAAGTTAAACATGTGTTAATCAGATACACATGACACCATTAGGTAGCCTTATGGAGATACCTAATAGGATATGGAAACACAGCTAGTAGCTATTGCAAAACTAAAAGGTATAAATTGTGATGAACAAAAAGAAAATATATATGTTTTTTATAGACATAGGGATGCCAGAGAGAGGGGCAAATCTGGGAGCGATTGCAGAATACCGGTCCACTTTTGATAGGTTGTTAAACCGAATAAATGAATTAAAAGATTATTTCAAAACAGTTCACAATTAAAATTTAAAGATAAAACTACAAGAATATGTTGCTTGTAGTTAAATTCAATGCCGGAGTCTTTAAAGAACGAAGCATTTAAAATTGACATTCTTTTCTGATTTCGCCATGTTTACAAGGAATTAATAGGTGTAATATGTCAAAGTGGACGGGTATTCTGCAATCTAACCCAAATCTGCTCTTTTCTAAGGGGGCTGAAGTGCCCTTTTAATGTAACGTGTGCATATGCTAAAACCTCCAAATACAAGAGACTTCAACAGTAAATCTGATTGATTATTTTATGTTGAGACTTTATATTGCTTTAATAAGCATCAACCACAGATGTGCCTCAAAGGGAAATTACAGTAGGCCCCTTGTCATTTATTAATAGGGTCTCATGTCCTTTGTGTAGAAAAGTTGCAATTAAATGAGCAGAAATTTGAATTACAACAAATTTAAAGGCTAAATATGCTTTCAATATAATATGACCAATTGCCCTTACATTTGCCGACTGTCCCTTGCCATTTGCCGACTTCCTTTTGCCCTACCACTGCTCCAACATCCCATAAATATGAATTAAATATCTAAAGGATTGGTTCAAGGTAATACACCTAACAACTAGTGATGAACCTGAATATGCATATGCACCCACAATTATCATTTTACTGCAGTCTAACACAAAACATCCTTACTTATCAGGAGTAATAATATTAGTTAATGGGTAATAGAACTATCTGCCAGTGTCTTGTTAAAACCATTAATTATTTAATCGCAATTAGACTGGATTCTCATGCTTTAATATTTTGCTTGGTCTTACACCAGGCAGTTTTACTCATTCGATAAATAGAGGAGTGCTGGATGAGCCTGTTGCATTGGGTACTATATTGCAAGTATATGTAGGAGCTAATTGCTTTAAATATGTGTACACATATTATACAAACATGTTCCAAATTTCATTAATTAACCCATTAAGCGTCAGCGCTCTCCCCTTGATGAGTAAAATCGTCTGGCGTTAGACAGAGTAAAATACTCCGGTGTTAGACAGAGTAAAATACTAAAGTAGGGTGCATCAGGGTGCAATGCAACTCAATGGGTTAAAGAATAATAAGTATCCAGAATACCACATACAAAATAGTATCTTATCTTGTTTATCTATATATAGACACATTTATAGCTAACATAAAAATCTTACTGTAATAAAAAAAATTATATCTTTCGTATTTAAATATATAGTGGTCATCAAGCTATCAAAAATAGATTTTACATGTTCAAATAAAACCCTAAGGAATTGTGATAGGAATATGTCAGATATTAGGCAAGGCCAGTGAGAGGGCAAGGAAAGAGCAAATACCCTGGGAACAAGGTTGGCGAGAGGGGGGCAGGGGGACCCATTCTCGTCCACAGAGCCATTTTCATTCGGTCACTCGTTGAAAATAAGGGGAGGGGGGGGGTAAAATAGGGGGTGGTAAATGGGGAAAATAAGGATTGAAAACTTTCCCCCCCCTCCAGACTGAAGCAAACTTTTTGTGTCCCCCCCCTCATAAATGTAGAAACTTTTCTGACCCCACCCAGTGTGGATTGAAAAATTAACAGCAATGAAACAGGTGTGTGTTGCAGGTAAAGTTAGATATTAGGACAATCTGTTTAATCTAGCCCATGATGTTTTACCCATGATGTTTTACCCTGGTTAATATGATTCAACCATATGCGATTTAAAATATATATTATGTGTTTACTACTTTGCAATGCAACATTTGTCCTCATACCATAATCCTAACCCATGGACTGTTAGTCTCCTATGCAGACCTACTTTAGCGGGTTTGGGCCCGCCGCTAATTAAGTAGGTATGCGTAGGAGACTAATGGCCAGTCTTCATACAGCGAAATGATTTGAACACAGGGTTTTTTTACGCCTTGTCTGGGGGGTGGGCATCTACAAAAAAGGACCATACTATACTGAGTATGGAGAGATGACAGATGGTTGTTGGTGACCAAAAGTTTGGTGTGGTATCATATGTACAAGTAGGGGGGTCTGGGGGTATTCTCCCCCAGAAACTTTTTTTGTATTTTTCCACCCCTAGGACTGAAATGTGAGCATTTTCTGAAACAGATTTTTGGATATACAGAGTTACATTGTGCTTTGATAGACCGAATCTAATCAGTTAAGTACTTCTTGCATGGTATGTTTATGTAAACACCACAACTGGATCACTCAGGGGGTAGGAAGCTTGTTAATTAAACTTAGTGGGCGCCGAGCAGGGAAATGTTGAAAATTTTGAGTCTTTACATTGTTGGAAATGGCATATTCAGAGTCTTCTTTACCTCTTTGGCATTATGATTTGTGAGTCTATGCTATTTGTGATTATAGAAATCAGAACTCTAGACATGGTATTTACTGTCGTTCCAATTGAAGTGTTGCTGAAATATTGATTCAATACATTACCTCGGGCTGACCAATTCATTTGATCAAGTTCCTCGAGATATTCATACACTTCCTGTGAAAGAGCCAATTCCAAGTATTTGATCATTTCTGGTCACTTCCTTTCTATTTATGATTGGTTAGTTGCACAAACGACAAAGGTGATTGGTGCATTCAAACTATTCAACAGGAAGTTTACAATTATACTAGGAAGTGTATGAATATCTCGAGGAACTTGATGAAATGAATTGGTCAGCCCGAGGTAATGTATTGAATCAATATTTGAGCAACACTTCAATTGGAACGACAGTAAGTTCAAAAAATTTTTTGCCCCCCCCCCCCTCTTTCTCTAGGTTAAAACTTTTTTGACCCCCGTATTTATAAGCGTAAAACTTTGTTTGTCCCCCCTCCCCCCCATTTACCAACCCCCCTCCCTATAAATAATGACCACTCCCTAACGTCGCTAAAACGGTATTCCGTATTCATGATAATAGGATCTCGGTAACGACGACAATTACTGGTACATGAATACGAACACATAAGGTCTTTCAGAGTCAACGAAACGAAATCCTTAGGCTTGCAAATCGATGGGCATGACATGTCGAAAATTTATGCTCTGAAAATTTATGGAGCACTATAAATTCAACCGTATATTTTGATTATTGTAGCTCAGTTTAGGATGGTTTAAATAAATAACTTTATTCCAATCAAAATACCAATAATGATATATTAAGAATATTGAACATATATAGCCTAGGAATAAACAATGATATCTAACTACATAACTGTATCTCATCAAAAACTGTAAGAATATCATAACAATATTTAGAAATTAAAACAGTCGCATAATGCTTGTATCATGCATAGCCATAACATAATGAAACAAATCATCTAACTTGAAAAATATATGAAAAAATTATTGATTTTTTTAATATATAAGTCATCTATGAAATCCTGTCTTAAAGTTGCAAACATTGAATTTCTGCATGACATTACATAATGTTGTTCATCTCCAACTTCATTCAGATCACAATGTCTGCACGCTCTATCACAGTATTCAGTAAGGAATATTTTTATATCTGCCAGTTTCAACTGGTAATCTTTGCGCAGAAATTCTTAATTTTGTAACAGCTTGGCGGTGTTTAACATTTTGGATTTCTATTAGATATTTTTCCATTTCAAAATTCATTTTAATTTTTCTGAAGACTTTTAGTTTCTTTTCTTTCAGTTGTTTTTTATAATAATGCTTAGACTCTTCATTAAGTGTATTCATTAAGTGTCATGAGGGACTGTGAAGTACCTGACATATCCAACATCATTTTTACACACTTTCAGTAAATATATATAATCCGTAAACATTGCTGGTTGAAGATTCATATCCATACACACTCGAGCAGCTTCGTCAGCCAGAGTTTTTATTGAAACTTGCATCCTTAATGTGTAGCCAGTATTTAACGATATGCCAAGAAATTCGTGCAGTTAAGGTATCCTTCCTAATTCAGCATAAATTGCTATATTTGTGGTTTTTGAGTGAACTCCAAAAATACGTTTACAAAATTTTAAATGAAATCTTTCTATTTAATAAAATGGGAATATTGTAGTCGAGAAAAGTTTCAAAAGCAATTTGATTGGCAAAATTTGAAAATTTTTTGTATAAAAAATTGTAAGCTCGTATCAGCAGTATCACCTGATCAGCAGTATCACCCGTTTGAAATTTCCGGAAAAGTGAAGAGTAATTCCAAGGTAACAATACTAGCTCCACCTGTTCTATACGGGATTTTCTTCGTATAACCAAGCTGACGTTAAGTATGCACGCCTTTGGATCGGTGTTCCAAAAAGTAAAACTTTGCATTTTCTCCTATTAATTTTGAGCTTCCATTTCTTTGTATATATTTCAAGTTTTGATAGACACTCTTGTAAACCTGTTTGCGATTTGGACAACAGGACTAAATCGTCCGCATAAAGTAAACTGTTCAAATCTGTATTACCAAGTTTTACTGGATCACATGCCTGGTTAATTTTAAACAAATCAGGTATATCATTTACAATCATGTTGAAAACAGTAGGAATAAGATTATAGCCTTATTTAACACCAACACCAGAGTTGAAGAAGGGAGTTGTTCCTTGACGTAATTTTACTGAATAGTTTACTGAGGAATACATACACGGCTAAAAACGCACAGGTTGTTACAAGTTGACAGGCGTGAACACTGTTGTGCGGCCAACTATGAACAAGTTGTCAACCATGTTGTTCCAAGTTGTTACAGTTGAACAATGCTGCATGCAACAACATGTTGACAATACTGTTCATAGTGGGCCGCACAACATTGTTCACGCCTGTCGTCGATATCAACTTGCACATTGTTCACGCCTGTCGTCGAACAACATTGTTCACGCCTGTCGTCGATATCAACAGGTTGTTGATTTTCTCAATTTTTACGCCTGTACTTATTAACATTAGACGTAAAAACGTTTTACTGCATCCAGATAAAATAAGCTTATAAAAAAGACCTTCCCTCCATACACTATTATAAGCCTTCTTAAAATCAATAAAGCAAGCAAAAATTGGTTTTCGTTTTAGCCTATAACAGTGCATCAAGGTTTTCAAAACTAATATATGATCTGCTGTCCGAACATTCCGATGTCTATTTCTATGACCTATTTGGCAGTTATTCGATATTCTTAATTTTCCCAAACAGCTACCCATGCATGATTCTTCTATAGTTATTAGGATCAGCAGTATCACCTGATTTGTGATCGGTACAATAAAACTTTCCACGATGATGGAAAAATCCCGTGGGAAAAAAATTGTTTTAAATAACTTGGTGAAATAATATGGTAAAGTTTTAACTGCTACCTTAATAATTTCATTAGTTAGTGAATCAATAGCACTGCCACTGGCCTTTTTGTTCTTTAACCTGTTTGTTAGTCTATATATACAATTCATGAACAGAAATTGGTTTATCAAGTGTGTCATTTCTACATATCACCCAAGATGGTTATCATTAACAATTTCAGCTTCATAATTATTCTTTTCACTATGAATGTTTATCATGTTTAAATTTTTAAAATAGTCAAACCATTCAGAGGGTTGTATTTCATTTGATATTGTAGGCGATTGTTTTGCCTTGATTAAGTTAACTAAATTTCAAAATTCTTTAGGATTACTACTTGATAGGTTTTCAATTTTATCTAATACACTACCATGAAATTGACGTTTGAGTCTTTTTATTAACCTCTTATACTCGTTTCTTTTGGTGAAAAATGTATGACGTAAAAACGAATCTGAGGGATAGTTTGCTGGTAAATTACCCAAGTTCGGTAAATTCCTTTTAAATGTATGACAATCTTTAT